GGCAGACTCCCTTTTCACATGCTCTGTCTAAATATCTTGGTGCCGACCCACTACAGAAGAGTTCTTAGCCAGTGCGCCTCAGGTAGCCTACCCGCCCTTAGTTAGAGAGACCAGCTCTTATAAAACTCAAGTTTATGTGGACAGGGGTGGTTTCTGACGGAAACAAAGGTAGTTTTGTGGTGCCTGGTTCACCCCTGTCGATTCGAATACTCCTCCATCGAAATCCGGACCCATCAATTTATAGCCTTTGTAAATTTTGCCACAAATGGAAAAAATAAATAAATTAAAAATCGCTGGAAATGGTCAAAATGTCGAAATTTCGCGCCGCCGGTCCATTTCAAGTGAGTTGCGCCTGTTTTTCTTGGACCGGTTCGCCTGCGAGGTAGGCAGCCCATCGTACGCTACCTGACAGATCCAAAAGACCTCCTCTTAAAACGCAAGTTTCTGTGGACAGGGGTGGTTTCAGCCGGAACCAAAGATAGTTTTGTGGTTCCCTGGTTCACCCCTGTCGGTTCGACTACTTTTCCGTCGAAATCCGGACCCATCAATTTTCGCTAAAAATAGGAAGGCTATAGCCTTTGTAAATTTGGCCAAAAATGAAAAAATTGAAAATCGTTGGAAATGGTTGGGATTGGTTTGACAGCACCCTCTTACTAACTCTCCGCCGAAATTTCACTTCGCAGACCCATTTTAAGCGAGTTACGCCCGATTTTCTTGTACCGGCTCGGCTGCTAGGTAGGCAGCCCGTTGTACGCTGCCCGCCAGATTCAAAAGACAATCCCTTAAAACTCAAGTGTCTCTGGACAGGGGTGGTTTCTGGCGGAACCAAAGGTAGTTTTGTGCTTCCCTGGTTCACCCCTGTCGGTTCGACTACTTTTCCGTCGAAATCCAGACCCATCAATTTTCGCTAAAAATGGGAAGGCTATAGCCTTTGTAAATTTGGCCAAAAATGAAAAAAATAAAAATCGCTGGAAATGATTGGAATTGGTCTAGGAGAGTCGCCTTTGACCTCCTCTGTCGAAATTGCGTGCTTCCTGCCTCTTTTGCATCCTGTTTCTTCAACTATAAAATTGCGTCTTTGGTTTGCTGCAGGAAGATCGGCCTGGAGGTGCACCTGTCCTGGACATCAGCAAAGCAGCCTATGTGTCACCTGCTGTATGCTGAGTCGGCGTCGCAGCACACAGCAGGAGGAATCGCTCCTTTTTCTCATGATCGCAGGAATGAATCTGGTAAGTTTTGACTTTCACCGTGATGTTAACATAAAATACCAGTACATTTATGGTAGTCATGTCTGGTAAAAGTTTATTTTGGTATTGTTTCTACTTTGGGGTTACTTGTCATTTCTTTACTGCTTATTCTCATTCCATATATATGGCTTATTACTTGAGCCTAAAATATACAGTCGTGTTTTAATTTTAGTGCGGAACTGGAGGCAAATCATTAGGAATCTCTGACAGTAATGCTGCTATTTATTTCATTTGTATGGTACAGTCGTAGTAAAGTAGGAAGTGATGCTGGTTCTTGTCCATAGGGATATGCCTGGACTTGATGCTGGCCACCTGTAACATAGAATTTCATTCGATGAGCTGGCATCACAGTGATACATATGGACCAGAAAACGTTTGAGTTGAACTCTGAGATGATAATTTGAATTTAACTTATAGAATTTTTTCATTCTTTTACAGGTATCCAGATTAGCCCCAAGTCACCAGCAGAAACAAGCCGGCTACTTGAGGAAGACTTACTCTTATAATGTAAATGATTTGAAACAATAAAGAATAGAAAATCACTACATCTGACATTTTACTTGATTTCCTACACCTAGTTAGCCAGAAGCTGTAGTAACTGTGGATGTAGTAGCAGACAGCCAC